ATCATCCCACTGAGGAAGGCTGCTAACCACATGAAGAGCACCCCACACACACACCCTGACAGCTCTGCCTGCCCTTGGGCTGTGGGTGGGGGTGGTCTGAAGTGAGGAGCAATAGCTAACTTCCCTTCAATCTCTTTGCACCATCATGCTCCTTCCCACCTCCTCCAATATTGTGACTGATACTCCCCACTCTTTTGTTCCAGGGTCTTGCCCATCTCCATGCCCACAAGGTGATCCACCGAGACATCAAGGGACAGAATGTGCTGCTGACAGAGAATGCTGAAGTTAAGCTAGGTACCATGGGTCCTTCTGAGGCCCTTCACTAGCAAGCCAGGGAGCAGGGTCCCCTTCCTCAAATGTCTGGCTTAGGTCCAATTGCATTTATGCTGAGGGCTCTCTTCCCTGTCCCCATCTCCCACACTGAGATGTCTGCTTCCTGCTGAAAATCTGAGCAGCCTTTCACCTGCTGCCCACCAGGGCGCAGCTGCTCTGCACCCTTTTGTGGAGACAGGGCATTGAGTTCCCTCCTGCCTGCGATGTCATCCTGAAGAGGATGTGGAGGTGTCTGAGTGGTACCTGGGCCTCTGCTGCTTCAGGCCAGGCACATGAGAGCTTGTAGTGGTATGAGGCAGAAGAATGGGGGGGGGCTTTTCATGCTGACCCCTTCCTCACATCTCACAGTGGATTTTGGGGTGAGTGCTCAGCTGGACCGCACAGTGGGCAGGCGGAACACGTTCATTGGTACCCCATACTGGATGGCCCCAGAAGTCATTGCCTGTGATGAGAACCCTGATGCCACCTATGACTACAGGGTATGAAGTGGGAAAGCAGGAGCACTGGGGCCTGGGTTAGGAAGGAAGATGGGAATAACGGATAAATTAAAAGTTTGGGGCATGAGCAGAGTGAGGGGAACTGACGTGAACAATGAAGAGATAGAAACTTTTTACAGTGTGTGGCCAGGCCTGGGAAGCCAAAACCTGGAGGATTGCAAGTTTGAGGCCCTCTGGGGCTTCCTAACAAGACCCTGTTACAAATAAACTAAATTAAAAACCCAGTATTTTATATTTATATAGGAAGGTTACATGATTTGGAAAAAGGGGACCTCAGGAGGGGGTGAGGATATAAGTTTTTGTGGGGTGCTGGATGAAGGGAGTTTCGTGATATTGTCAGGAAAAATTTATACCTGTCCCTTCTTTCCCTTCTTTAGAGTGACATTTGGTCTCTGGGAATCACAGCCATCGAAATGGCAGAGGGAGCCCCTGCCAAGTGCCACCTTTGCCTTGGAGTAGCATGGGATGGAAGGGAGGGCGAGGGAGTAGACATGGGGAGGTGAACTCTGACAGTCTTGTTGAGGGTCCCTGGCCTCTCGCTAAGGAGAGAGGACTGATCGTGCCTCCTCTTGTGTCTCAGCGCTGTGTGACATGCACCCAATGCGGGCGCTCTTCCTCATCCCTCGGAACCCACCCCCCAGGCTCAAGTCAAAGAAATGGTATGTCCGTGGCTGTTTTCAGCCTGACAGCGAAGGTTTCTAGGTAGGGCCATCCTCCGCCCAATACTTCTTTGTGTTCAGGCTTTGGTGTATACCATGAAAGAGGTGTGGGGACTGTAGGTAGTGACTGGGTTAGGATTTGGAGAAGCCAGGAGGGAAAAGACAATTTAGAGATAAACGGCCCACCATCTTCTGTGATTCCCCTTCCAAAGGGGCCCTTCCAGTGTAAGCCACTGCTGTTTCCAGGTCTAAGAAGTTCACTGACTTCATTGACACGTGTCTCATCAAGACTTACTTGAGCCGCCCACCAACTGAACAGTTACTCAAGTTTCCCTTCATCCGAGACCAGCCCACGGAGCGGCAGGTCCGCATCCAGCTCAAGGACCACATTGACCGCTCCCGGAAGAAGCGGGGTGAGAAAGGTCAGTGGATGGGTTGGGAGCAGAGGGGTTTGGGTTCTGTCTCTACCCTGTCTCCTCTCTAGCCGGAAGACCTTTGGGCTTGCCTTTGCACTCCCTTTCCTTATCCCAGCTCTCCCTGCCCAAGGAGCCCTCTCCCAAACTTAAAGCTGTAGGGGCTTTTTCCGCTTGTCTCAAGTCAGCCTTGCAGGTGAGGATGGCTGTGTGATTTCCTCACAGAAAGCTCATCCCGAGGCTGTGCTTGTGTGAGTGAGTGAGCCTGTGGGGAGGTGCCTCATGCTGGGCTGTGCACATAGACCGAAATGATATTCCCAGCTAAGGTTTCCCTACCCAGGGTGGAGACTGGAGCTTTGGGTGGAAAAGCATCAGTGGTCTTCCCTTTGCAGAGGAGACAGAGTATGAGTACAGTGGCAGTGAAGAGGAAGATGACAGCCATGGAGAGGAAGGGGAGCCAAGGTGGGTTTGGCAGGTAGAAGTGGGCGGTTGGGGTCTGTGTGTATTGTCTGGAGGGACAATGATCCTTTGCTTTGGGGACTCTCGGGTAATGGCACGTAAGAGAAAAAGGCTTGTATAAACTGAGTCTCTGGGTTGGTGAACTGGCTCAGCAGGCAAAGGCACCTGCCCAAGCTTGATGACCTCAGTTTAGTTCCCGGGATCCACATGTTAAAGACAGCTGTGGTGCACTCAGACATGCACACTTGTATCTCTCACAAGCATGCATGCACAAACACAATAAATGATGTAACCAAATGGAGTCCCTGTATGACAAAGAGTGAAATAAATGACAAAGGAGTGGGCACTAAAGGCTGGGGGTGATGACACATGCCTCTAATGCTAGCATTTGGGAGTCTGAAGCAGGAAGATAGCAAGTTCCAGACCAGTCTGGGCTGCATAATTCAGGCCCTGTGTCAAACAGGAAAGAGGGACAGAGGAGAAGACAAATCTGCTCCCCTTGGGATTGGCCATTGGCAGGATGTCTGGTACAGTCGGAGGCATCCACTCAGGCAGGCTGCCCAGGGACGAGGGACCACCAGCATCTTCTGACCTCCACCTGCCTTTGTGCCACAACCATCCAGCTCCATCATGAATGTGCCTGGGGAGTCCACGCTCCGCCGAGAATTCCTCCGCCTCCAGCAGGAGAATAAGAGCAATTCCGAGGCTTTAAAGCTGCAGCAGCAGCAGCAGCAGCAGCAGCAGCAGCGAGACCCTGAGGCGCACATCAAACACTTGCTGCATCAGCGGCAGCGCCGCATAGAGGAGCAGAAGGAGGAGCGGCGGCGCGTGGAAGAGGTGGGTCCACCAGGAAGGAGGCCCCGCCCAGCCCTATGTGGGTGATTGTGCTGGTGGCATCCTGTCAGAGCAGAGCCAGGTCTGAAAAGTGACAGCTATTGTCATGATAGAGATGTTTCTGCTTGTATTTCCATTCTGGGCTTCTCCAGCTCCATCGTCTTGTCCAACTGTAGGTCTGTGCCCACGTTTGTTGGTGTAGCTGATCTGCTGCAAACAAAAAAGCTGGAAAGACCCTTCTAGTACTTCCGATTATTTTGATTTTGATTTTTGTTGTTGTTGTTGTTATAAATTATAGTCTTCCTGTTTTGGACTAATTACAGATGGGTAGAAGGGATTCATTTTAATTAAAGAGAATCTTAAGTTTAAGTGCAGTTTTCTATTTGTTATATTACTCATTAAGATATTACAGCTAGATGTGGTTGGTGGCTTTGTACTGTAACCCCAGCATTTGGGAGGTAGATGCAAGGAGTAATTTCAGAACAGCCTAGTCTTCAAAACACCAAAACAACCAAAAAGATGTATAGCTTAGTTGATAGTGGGCTAGCCTGAAACCCCAAGTCCAATCCCCAGCACCATATAAAACTGGTTGCAGTAGTACCCACTTATAATCTCAGCACTCTGAAGGAGGAAGCAGGAAGATGAGGAGTTCTAGGTCAGCCTCAGCTACATAGTGTGAGGCTTTGTCTCAAAAAAAGGGTTGGGGGCTAGACTTTCTGCCATTCTCTATAATAGCAGTCAGTAGCAAGTGACAGAGGCCTCACCACAGGAAGAGTACTTCTGTGTGCCAGAGGTCTGGTCTTGGTCATTTTACTGTTAATCATGTTTGGGATAGAGACAGACACTGACCCGAAGGTTGCTTTTCTGTACACAGACACTTGGTGCCCTCTGCTGGCCAAAGATTGTCACTAACATACATCTCTTAGAGATCAATGCAAAGTCAGATTTGGGGTGCGAGGAGCATGTTAGGGGATTGCTGTTCTTGACACTTGTTTTTTTGTTGGGTGCTATCTTAGGCCTTCAACTGCTATGATAACCAAAAGTAACTTGGAGAGAAAAGGGTTTATTTTGCTTACACTTATCCATCATAGTTAGTTAATCATTGGAAGTCAGGGTAGGAACCCAAGACAGAAACTGATGAAGAGGCCGAGAGGAACACTGCTTACTGACTTGTACCCCATGGCTTGCTTGTCCTGTTTCCTTATAGCAGCCAGGATCACCCTTTTGGGAGTGGTACCTGCCACAGTGAGCTGGCCCTCCCATATTAGTCATCAATCAAGAAAAGGCACCACTGATTTGGTGGGATCATTTTCTAAGTTAAGGTTCCCTCTTCTAAAATGACTACCTTGTGTGAAGTTGACATAAAGCTAGCCAACACAGTGGTGCAGTGGGAAGAGGAGAATGTCACCCTGCTGAGCCCACTCCAAGAGCAGCAGTCTCTGTCTAGCCCTGTGACACAACTACCTCAAAACAAATTGTTCTCCTCAGGCCCAGCCCTTGGGACCAGGTGTGCGACTCTGGTGCAGGGCTACGGATATGTGCCTGGAAGTGTTAAAGCCTTTCTCTCCACCACCCCTAGCAAACACCTGCCCTGTTCTCCATGGAGGGGCAGTCCTCCCCAGGCTGTGCCATGCCCGCATCTGTTATGGTCTGTAATCACACACACACCTTGGTCTACAGCAACAGCGTCGAGAGAGGGAGCAGCGGAAGCTGCAGGAGAAGGAGCAGCAGCGACGGTTGGAAGACATGCAGGCCCTGCGGCGAGAGGAGGAGAGGCGGCAGGCAGAACGGGAGCAGGTATTGGTGCCAGTGCACACACACACACACCCGCCTCCAACACCCCCCTGCCCCTGCTCCTGCTGCCTGCCTTCCTGCTCCTCGGTGCCCTGTCCCTTTCACTCCCCAGCCCCAGATTCCTCCTATCTTTTCCAGCTTCACTCTTTCTCTCTGTTTTCTCCTACCCTTCAACCCCACCCTGCTCCCTGCCCTCCTGACTCTATGCCTTCATTCCCCATCTCTCTGCCCATCCCTGGCTCCTTCCTGGGGCACTGTCCCTCATGGTACCCACATGATTCCTCCTCATCCCGTCTCCTCTTACTCCCATCTGTGCCACATTGCCCCCGCAGGCTCATCTACCCCTGTTCCCCCTCATCCTCACCCCGCTCCTCGGGAAGCTGCCATCCGGAGCTGCTCTCCTGCACTGCACTGGGACGGGAACACAGCAGGGAAAGGGGCTTCCCAAGACCAGGGAGGCAGTTCCTATCTAGGCAGTAGAGGAAAGGAAGGGCATGCCTGCTCTAACTTACAGGGCCACACTCTGCTGAGCCCTCTCTCCCTACCATTGGGCCCAGGAATACAAGCGGAAGCAGCTGGAGGAGCAGCGGCAGGCAG